CATTAAATAATTCATTGTAATTGTGATAACTCATCTTATACATGATACTATTCCTCAGCGTGGGGGAACCCTCAGCATCAACACGGTACTCGCCACGCGCGTTGAAAAACTTGGATTCTTGCACATCGTTAGGATACACTCCTTGAGCGATACGAACCATCCACAAAAATTTGTTTATATCGTCTCCGCTATATGCGAGAAGACCCCCGAATATGATAAGAACGTAGTCAACATCATGGCGACGCATAATTTCATATGCTGTATCCTCATTACTCGCCATTGCTTTACCGACAGTTGCAATGTGAGTGTTATTCCAAGTATTGTTGTCTACAAGCGTAGGTCGATCTGCCATTCCCGAAATCTGGTAACCATAATCCCACCATGACATCACCTTTGAGTTGTAGTCGGTATTCTTCCTTAGCCAATAATATGCTTCGCGAAAGTCATCAATTATAAACTGACTTCCATCTTGTGTTCTTGATGCCAATACAATCGATGGAGAAGAATAAGCTCCTGACGTTACCCACGTACAATGCCAAGCAAATATAAACAAGAGAAACAAAAAATTGGACAACACTATAAGTCGTGTGTCTATCCCATACACTCCCCAGTGATTCTCCTTCTTCTTTGTTGTCTTTTTATCTTCGCTCTTAACGTTATCTCCCGGCCTTTTGCTGCTTGATCCTCCATCTTTCTTTGCTTTTTCGTCTTTGGTTGTTTTAGTGTTGGACGTCAGATCAGGATCCAAGGTTGATAAATCCATGTACGTGTCAAGCAACTTGGACACCGTTACTGCGGCAGTCACGCATACAATCGGAGTAAGAGTAAGCATCAATCTGACCATCACTCCAGCAAAGTACGATGCTGTAATGCCATACAATATGACAAATACGTGTTCATCCCTGAGCTCTTGGAAACAGATGTAAATGCCAGCAGGAAATAGAAAGACCAACATTTCCAAATCAAAGAAGAATGACGGCCAAGCAGTGGGTTGATGCTCAGAGACAGAGGCTATGATAGGAATATGTTTCTTAGCGTACCCTGTATCCCATAAGGAGTAGAATCTTCCAGTCCATGGTGCTATGTATCCGGCAGCCGTCAGCAATACCAATGCAGCAAACATAACTGCAAACGATAATACGATAAACCCCCTAAACAGTATCTGAAACTGATTTGACGACAAGTGACTTCTGACAAGTTCGACAAAGGCAATAATTTGGAGCAATCCAAAGATACCTGTACGATAAGCAGAAGCATTGTTGAGAAAATGAAAAGCAGCATTATCATAAACCAATTTCAGAGCACGATTGAAGGGTCAATGATGCGAAGAATTACCGAGTGCAGCCATATGTTCGCTTGTTCTTGTTGGTTGAAACCCAACAAATGGTATCTGCATAGACATCAACGTGCCAAGGACATAGAACGATGAATATGCGACGTAAAGACGACTTGAAAATCTTCCCATGAGGACGAGAACCAATACGTGTAAAGGTATCAAATTTATAATGAACACGTATCCACCTATGATATCAACATAAAGTGCTGTTAGTTTAATGACTCTAAAATGCTACCCACCATGGATGACAGATTTCGGTTGTAACACGTATGTATGATAGTCGTGCGAGTCAATCAAATCCGCCATTGACACTTACCCCA